GCCTGCCTGACATGCGCAGTACCAACAACCGTGTCCCTGGGATGACCTATTGACATCAATGGCCGAAAAACACACCCCTGTCTACGCCCCGGACTGGACAAAACACCATCTTTGTGCCCCTCTAACCCTTAGACTGAGCAGGCGCAGAAGATCAGACTGCCCCAGAAACGCCTTTATGGGCCAGACTCCACCTTGGGGCATCCCTGAAGACTCCAGACCCAATTTTACTTTACCCATATAAGCCCCTCAGGCCATTGCTCAGGGCGCCACCTTGGCGACACAAGTCCCGGTGGGCTCCGGCACTTGGCCAACTAAATAAAGCTTCTTCTTCCACTTTCACGGCTTCATGTCTTTCTAGCCATGCCGAGCTGACCTGGAAGCATCCGTTTACACAGTAATTATTCTTATATGTACTGCAGGACCCCTAAAGGCCATGACCTCAGAGGGATGTCCTGGTTGGATCACAGGTAACGGGCGAGCATCTAGCTAGCTATCCTAGCTCCATTTATTAAACATCCATCCTTTTCTCCATATTAAAACCGGTTGTCATCGGGTGGAGTCTGAGTCACGTTGACTCCATGTGTGTTAGAGTAGGTGAAAACATAACAAATGCATAAAATGGTCTTTTAGAAGGTGATAAGGCACAGAGCCCCAGGCTGAGGAAAATTCCACCGCCTCAAGCAGCTTGCTTGGCTTGCCTCGAAACTTTGCATTAGAATCCATCCTAGTTCCTTTGCTTGGCCTGCCCCGTAAAATCCTGGCGATGCATGAAGTTACATGTAAACCCCATTGTGCCTGCATAGTATGATTAAGAATGTTGCTGATGTAACTTGTATGAACTCCCTACTTGTGGAAGAGGCTGCACAGGCCTGGCTCACTATTATTTACTCCCCATTGCTAATGCTACATTGTCTCGTGATTTTTCCCTCCAGTTCCAGTTCGTACAAAAAGGTTTAAGATTAACTGACGTTCCTCCCTGGAGGGTGGAAAACAAGTGATAATGATCTAAGAATGAAAAACCAAACAAAGCACCCATCTTGTGACAAGAAAAAGCAGATAATCCCCAAGGATGTCACCAGATAACCTCTAAGGATACCAGTAGAAGGTTAACTCATCTAAGACATCATCACCTCAAGGAGAAACTACCATAAAAGATCCATAATCCTGTCCCTATAAAAGACTTCAGCTGATCTCCAGTGGGGGAGACGGGGTTTTTGGAGGAATCTATTCCCCTCCGTCTCCTATATATCGATATATAATAAACATCTTGCTGCTCACCTCACCCCTGTCTTAGAATTGGCTATTGCGGCAGGCGGCTCCAATCCGTGTTATTGCAGTAACACTTGTAACCCCCCCTAAAAGTAACCTTTCCCTTGGCTCTTGGGGAGCAGTCTTGGCAGCAGCAGCTCTGACTGACTCCTTTCCTTGTGCAATGAAATAAAGGCGCGTTTCTCAGTCTCTCGTTTATTGGCCAACAGGAGTCACACCGAGGAGAACCTGGGGTTTCCAGCCTGCAACAGTGACAGGTGCTAAGGAAAAAACTAGAGCAGAGTAAGGGGGATCAGGAGTATAGAAGAGTTAGAATTGGGACCAAAGACGGGAGGAGGTGAGTGAGCCAGGTAGATTGCAGGCAGAGGGAACAGCCAGTTCAGGGGAGGAAGAAGGGGGCTTGTGTTTGTCCATAGGAGGCATGTGGCTGGAGCCAGTGCCTGAGGAGGGGCAGTGGAAGGAGGTGCTATGGTGGGGGGGACGGCTGTAGAGGGGCAGGTCAGGGAGGGCCTGTGGGCCACTGTGAGGGCCTGGAGGCTCCGTAAAACAGGAGCTGCCAAGGGTTTTGAGCAGATCTGATTTAGGTCTTGAAAAGATCTTAAAACATTAAAATTTAGGTTTTTAAGGGTTTGCAGGTGGAAGTCAGAGTGAAATCAGACACTGGATAGGAAGCTGTGGAATGCAGGAATGTCTCCCAGTTCCGCCCCCTCCATCTCTGTCCCTGTGGTCCTCATCTCCTTCCCAAGATTTTGGCCCAAGTCTGTGTGCGGGACATTTTCCCTGCCTCCTGTCCTTGTCTACTCCCCACACCAGCAATAAGCCAACTCTGAGAAATGCCTCAGGAACCTCCAGGGACAGGTCGGTTTGTCCTTCCCGGCCTGGCCGTTCAGCTTTGCTGCCGGCGCCTGCCGCGGGGGGTGTCGGTGCTCCAAGCCGTGCAAGCGGTCCTGCTCTACCTGCACCGAACTGGGGAGGCTGATTTTTTTTTTGGGGTGGGGGTGTCACATTTTGGGATTTCCGAAATATGTTTTATTTCAGTTATATGGATTATAATTATATAAGTATTTCTGACTCATGCAAAACAATACAGAATTCTCTGAAGTGGTCGCCCTCCCCCTTGCAAGAAGAAATCAGAAACCATCCTAAACATTTAGGCGTTTAGGGTATTTTTTCTTTTGCCATGCAAAAATAATCAAACATACAGAATTTTAAAAACGGATTACCCTGTACACGGTGGTCCGCACATTGCTCTTTCATTTGATTTGTGGACATTTTCCCTCGCCAAACAGACGGACCTCATTTTTTGTGACAGGGTGGTATCCATAGTGGAGCCCCCCCCCCCCCCAAGGGTTTCCCCTCTCCTACCCAGCAACAGCACATGGGCAGGAAGAGCTGCTTGCACCAACTGCTCCCGAAAGGAATTGCGTTACCATGCAAAACTCAACACCCTACGCCGGCCTCAGGCTCCACACCCCGCGCCCCGACCAGCCGCCAGGGGACGCTCCAGACCCGGCCCGCGGCGTCCCCGGTCCGGAGGGCAGATGGCGGGCGCGGCACCAGCCGGGTTGGGCGGCCCCAAGGCCCTCGCCGGCCCGAGCGCGTCCTTCTGGAAACCCGACCCGGCCGGCGCCTAGCCTGCGCTCCGCCGCTGCTCACGTCCCGGGGTTCATTGTCTCTTGGCCTCCTGCCCCCTACCGGGCTTGCCGGGGAACAGCCCCCTCCACGAGGTGCCCCTGTGCCACAAAACGGGATGCAGAGGCGGCTGAAGGGGAGAACTAAGGCGAGCCGTTGCATCCCTCAGGTTTGTCATTCCCGTCTGGCCGCCACGCCCTCCAGTGTCCCCACCTCGGGGTAGCACCATCACCACCCCACAGCCCGCCTCTCACGGAGGCCTGCGCGTTCCTGCCCCTCTGCAGAGCGTCCTTCCTGCTCACCTCTTTTTGTAGGTGTCTGGGGTCCCCAAAGAAGGACGCTGCCCTCAGGAGGCCGGATCCCTTTGTGGCCTCCTCCCCAAGACCGGGCAGTGTTTTATTCTGTGGTACATAGGGTCGCAGTGAGTGGGAATCTACTCACCGGCACCTAACAACAACAACGCCCTGTCTCCTCCGGATCCGTGAGTCCCACCCAGCCGCAGTTAGAGCGAGAAAGCGAAGGGTTGTGTGTCAGAGGCTTAGGACGTTAGGACTCAGGGGCAGGCTGGGGAAGGGCCAACAGAGCAGGGAGGGGAGCGAAGCTGGGACCCCAGTGCTGGAGGAAGCGAAAGGATGGAGGTGGGAGAAGAGAGGGAGAGGGGGCTGGAAGTCTAGGGCCACAGCTCTGTGGGACAGGAGTGTGGTCAGCCCCCAAGGATCCAGGTCACACTGTGGGGCCGGTCACTGGGACAGCCAGCTTGACCCGGGGGAGGGCAGCCTGACCCTCCACACCTCTTTCTGACCTTGTGCGCTTAAAGCTCCTTAGAACCGCGAATCCTCCTTCACTGGGAGGGAAGAAGGTCATCAACCGACCCAAGCACAGTGCCAATTGCTGTTTGGTTGGTTGGTTTTAATCCCCTGACTGGGTTACATTTTCAACCCATCCATAGATTCATGGCTGCCAATGGGATTTCAAATGTGAAGACTGGGTGGACTTACAATGTGGTGACTTACTGACTGGGTAGCCATGGACAAGTCACTTACCCTCTCTGAACCCCAATTTCCTTGTCCAAATAAAAGCGCAGCCGCGAGTAGCTCCGGGCATGCATCCAGGGAGAGCAACAGTGACTCCTCCCCGTCCTCACTCAGCAAAGAGGAGGGAGTCCATGCCAAGCAAAAGGGTGCATCTGACTCGGGGCCCCCAAAAGAGGGAGTTGCGTTCTTTCTTCTGGTGAACTCCAGACATCTCCAACTACAAGATCAGCAACAACCACCAAAGTGGACCCTTCCCTGGAGGGTTAATCTGCCGGCACGTGCACATCTTGAGAACCTCATTATATGGAAAGGGATCTGTCTCCATCACGGCCCTGAATTACATGATAAAGACCACTGCAGCGGTCCCCACTGATTCCATGTTGTTTCCGTCCTTGGCTGTAGCAGGTGGGAGAAAGGTCTTTCCTCCTCACAGGCAGAGTGCTGAGAGCAGCACCTCTGGGCATGTGAACCATCCTGGAAAAGACCAAGGTTGGCAGTGGGGGCAGGTGGAGCCAGGAGCGGGGAGCGCAGAGCAGCTGGCTGGCTCCTCTGGCCTCTGTTTGAAAGTTGCTCAAAAGACGTGGAATTAGTAGGCAAAGCCTCCTCCTCCTCCTCTTATCTGCAGAGGAGCGATCGGTTCCTGGCTGGCCAGGGCAGTGACATTGATACAGCTGGTGTCATCATTACCTTCCACTAACAGATCATTCGACACCTGTGGGCCCAGGCAGGCAGGCTAGGGCATGGAACCTGCTGGGCTGAAGGCTCTGGCACACCCCGTTCTTCCAGAGTCATGGGTGGGGCCAGGACTCAGGTGCTGATGACCTGTCAGATGGGCTAGGTTACTCCTGGTGCCTGCTGCCCCCACAGGGTCCCAGCTACCTGTCTGGTGCCTGCTGCCTGCTGCCTGGCCCCTGTCACTGCCGTGGGCAGAGGAGCTGATTGTGTGGCTGGCGGGGAGCTGAGGCTGAGCGACTATGCTGCGCAGAGAGGGGACGTTGGAAGTGGCCCTGGAGTGAGGGTGGCGCCCCAGCCAGCTGTTCCTTGGCGTGGGTGTCCGGCGGCACCATGCTGCAGCAAATCCTGCATGACGCATACATTGACCCTGAGCTGCTGGCTGAGCTTAGCGATGTGCAGAAGCACATCCTTTTCTACAAACTGCGGGAGGAGCAGCTGAGGCGCTGGAGGGAGCACGAGGCCCAGGAGGCCCTGGCCCAGGCAGAAGGCCACATGCCCCCCAAGACCAAGCGAGGTAGGTGGCCTGGGAGGTGGGTAAGTTGGCGATGTGAGAAACACTGGGTTTGGAACCCTGGTCCTGGTAGCATCCAGTTCCATGGGCTGAGCTCCTTTGTGTTGACTAGAACCAAGCCTGCAGAGGGTGCTACCAGGGCCCCTGATGGGGTTGGGGAGCAGGGACTTGCTTTGTCTTGTGTGTGGGGGGGGGGGGGGGCGGCAAGCCCAGAACACAGTGGCGACCACATGGGGAGTAACGAGGGTGTGTTCTTGACCCCCGCACGCGTGGTTCCAGGCCGAGGGCCAGGGGCCATGCAGACAGGTAGCTTCTGCCCTCTTCCCTGCAGCCCTGCATTTGTGCATGGCACAGTGGTTCTCTGTTTTCAGCTGGACAAGGCTTGTGCACCGTGGAGGATGGTGTGGGGTGTGCCTGGAGTGGCCACGGGGCAGCTGGTGAGATGGTGTTAGGGAACGTCCTGCACAAGGAGCGACCAAGGCTACGGCCCTGAGTTGCTCTTCAAAGCTTGCATTGAAACTGTAGTCCGAAGTCCTCTTTAAACTAGGTAACAGTTTAGCCCAAAGACTAAAGATTGTCCCACTTGAGTATTGCGTTTCTTTAAAAAAACAAAAACAATTATCTATACAAGACCAAAGGGTGAACAGCTATTTTAAAGCATAGATGAGAAGGTTGTGGGGCAGGGAGATTGAGTAAATGGAAGTGAAACAGCTAGAACAGAAATAAGGAGAATGTTGACCCAATGTGCAGAATGTAACCAAGATCATTGATCATTATGTTTAGAAACTGTTGAATGGGAGCGGGTTTTGCTGTGCATATTTTCACCCAAAATAAAATAATGTTTAAAAAGAAACAAGAAAAAAAGATCTTGCTGGGTTTGGTATGCACATGGATGCTTGCGCTTAATGGTGTGTGAAGATCACTCACCTTCTTTCTTGCTCGCTCCCCACAACAAACCCCCTGTGGGCCCCCATCCTTTCACCAGCATGAGGTGCTGATTGAATCTGTTGAGTTTTCAGTCGAAGATAAAGCCCTTTTTCTTGGCTAGACACAGGCCCATGAGGGACCTGATTGTTGCTGTCCACTCCAGGCTCCTGACTGGGCAGTGCTGGCTGCATGCCACAGCCACACACGCGCCCATCGGGACCTGCTCCCTCTCTCCTCTGGTGCACCTGCAGACTTCCTTGCTAGAATGTCCTCCTGCCTCCATCTGCCCGACAAACTCCTCCAGGACCGGCCCCCGCCCCTGGAGTCTTTTGGGGGATCCCCTGGCACAAGCAAGCACTTGCTCCTCTGCAGCCGCATGGCAGCAGGACCATCCTGTCCAGCCCTTGCCACACTGTCATTGTCCATCTGCTTACCTGGCCCTCCCGATGGACTCCAACTGCTGTATGGGGAGACCACACCCCACTCTGTCTCCTGTCCTTGGGGCCTAGCCCGGAGCAGGCACAGAGTGCTAAGTCCTGCCAGAGGGGAGGCAGATGCCGGACTGGGCCCTCCGGCTGTGTCCTTCCCGTGCGGCAGTGTGGCAACAGCATCACTCACTGTTGAAAAGCTTCCTTTCCAGCCCGCCTGGCCTGAGCCCAGACCTCGTCATCTGCACGAAGCCATCCTGGGAGGAGGACAGGTGCCTAAAATTGTAACTGCAAACATATTTATACGGCAATCTGTCACACATTGACTTCCACGTTTTCTTGTATAAATTATGCCTTAAACGCATTTGGATTTTGGTTGCAGAAGGCTCTTTTCTGGTTAGTTAATTTTCTGATTTATAAGGAATGGAAAAGGGAAGAAAATGTGCTGAGGAATAAGCATAGCCCAGGTCAGGGTCCTGCTCAGATCTCAGCTCTGGGAAGGGCACAGGGGAGAAGGTTTCCTGGTGCGGGGAGTGACCCTGGCCCAGTGCCTGCTTCTTGTGCTGGGGTCATGCAGTGTGATGGATTGCTTTTATTTGGCCTTTCTAGCCATGATCATATAACTCCCACAAAAAGATTAGGTGGGACTATACAAATAAGGTGCTTATGGCCCACCAAGGGGATTGGATAGCTTGCTAATAATACAAATAAGACACCTGGCACCCTTGTGGGGATGGGACCATGCAAATAAGGTGTATGGAACCCTAACAAGGGGATTGTCATCCCAATAGGCTTAAAATGAGCCATCCCAGAGGTGGAAAGGGAGGACCTCCCTACTATCAAGAAGAAGAAATGGTAGCAGAGTGTCCTTTGGACCAAGGGTCCCAGCACTGAGAACCTCCTAGACCCAAGAGACAGAGAGAGAGATCTGTAACACCAGAGACAGTGCAAGATGGTGAGAAGTGGCAGCAGAGAAATCACAGAACCAGGAGACCAGCGTGAGAAGACACAGTAAGCTTCCCAGCCCATGGGACAAGGTGGTTACAGTGGGTGTGCAGACCCACAAAGCGAGAGAGCTGAGCACCTTCGGGCAGGAGACTTCCTGGTGGAGTGGGCTGCTTCCAGGCACTTGTTGGCAGAGCTAGACTTGCTGATGCACATAGCAAGGGAGCTGAGCACCTTTAGGCCGAGGCTTATTGGCAGAAAGAAGTGCCCCTGGGCACTTACTGCCAGAGCTAAAGAGCTTTGTAGCACTTGCCCGAGCAGGGCAGAAGCCAGGCCAGCCCAAAAGGCCCCAGAGGGCTGAGGGCCAAGAGGTGGAGGGCCAGGGAGAGGCCTGCCTGCAGACACTGCTGAGAAGCTGTGCTGACCAAAAAACTGTAGCCTGAGTCATTCCTGATCCTGAATTGTAACCTGTTACTTCTCTAGTAAATCTCATGTCTGTGAGTATGATCTGTGAATTCTATGTGGCCATTGCATGAATTATTGAATCCAGCAGAGGAGTAGAGAGTGCCGTGGGAGGGATGGCTGGTGTCAGAATAGGTAAAATGGTTGGGGACAGGAGGTATGTCTGACCTCTGCTTCATAGGAATCAGCCTTGGGCTGTTGATCTTGATTTTCCTTCCCCCTTGTGAAGTTAAAGGAGGTCAAACGTCCCTGTGCCACCATTTTTCCAGGTCACGAAGGTTCTCGGCAGCCTGCACCTTGTCTGTGAGCCTCACATTTACTGGGAACCTGCCCTGTACTTCATGCTCCCTATAGAGCTGAGAGGTGGCAGGCAAGCCCCTGTGGCCCCATTTCATATGAGGAAGCTGAGGTGTGGAGAAGTGACGTGACATCCACGGTCACCCAGACACTAAATACTGACCCGGGCGCAGTGGCCAATGTTTTCCACTCAGTCACTTCTGAACTTAGGGACAGCGGTGGTTCTGTGATAGAATTCTCTCTTCCCATGAGGGAGACTCAGGTTTGATTCCTGATTTGCTTCATGTGCAGCCACCACCTGTCTGTCACTGGAGGCTTGTGTGTTGCTATGATGCTGAACAGGTTTCACTGGAGCTTCCAGACTAAGATGGAGGAGGAAGAAAGGCCTGGTGATCCACTTCTGAAAATCAGCCATTGAAAACCCTGTGGATCACAACAGTCCAATCCAAAACCAACAATGGACTGGTGCAGGGCCAGGCAGGGATTCATTTCATCATGGATGGGGTTGCCATGAGTCAGAGGCCAACAGGACAGCAACCAACAACAACAAACTTCTGAACTTGGGACTTTGATTAACCAGATGATCTGTTTATTCATTCACTTGTCTGGCATTCCTAAGGCTGACTTTGGCAAGCTGAATGGAGCTTTGGCCCTGGAGACAGCGAGGAGACAGACTGCAGGGGACACAGCCAGCTCGAGGGCCATGGAGCAGGGCTTGGTGCAGGAGTATGTGGGGACAGGCTCCATTGGCGGCTCTTTTCTCTGGCCATCTCTCTCCCCAGTTCCTGCCTCTCTCCTCTGCTTTGTGCTGAAGAAAACATCTGCTCCACCCTGTGTGTGCCAGCCCCTGGGATCACTGATTGTGACTTTGTTTGGTCCTGGAGCCCTGGTGGCGCAGTGGTTAAGAGCTCGGCTGCGAACCAAAAGGTCGGCAGTTTGAATCCACCAGCTGCTCCTTGGAAACCTTATGGGGCAGTTCTACTGTCCTACAGGGTCTCTGTGAGTCGGAATTGACCCGACGGCAGTGGGTTTGGTTTTTTGGTTCTGGTCCAGCCTGGAATGATGTTGTCTCCTCATGTCCACTGTCCCTAGTTCTGCTTGTGCTCCAGGCCTCCCCTCCCATCCTATCCTAGCAGGCCTGGCCTCACTGTCCCCAGGGCTCAGGGAATACTCCCCATGGCAAGATAGGGCAAGGCAAGGTGTGCTGAGTCCCAACCAACAGCCTCTCGGCTCAGTCTGTGCCTGGAGAGGGTGGAAGTAAACACTGATGATGTGAGCCATTCTAGGGGTTTGCACTGGTGTGGGATTCTGAGGTAGAAGCTCAAAGGCGTCCCGTGAAAGAAGGAAGAGACAGCCGGCAGGCATTTCTGTTTTGTTTTCACTTCACACTTTGGTGAGCATCTTCCGATAGTCTGCCCAGTGGCTGAAGACACCGGCGCCCAGACCAGGAAGCTTTCCTCACCCACCGTGGTGTTTTTGTTTGTCGTGTGTCTGACAGAAGTTGCTGTCCTGTGGGAAGCTGTGCTGTAATGAGGCTCTGGGAGGGCATGTTTTAACACGGTGCTCCTGCAGATTTCCTTCAAGTCCCCCACATCATCATGGCCTTTGCACGCTCTGCCCCCCAGCTCCCATCCGCCACTGTGAGAACCACACCCCATATTAGGAGTTGCAGCCTTTAATCCCAGGTCCCTTCTGTGCTTGCTGCAGTTTAGGGGGCTGGGCTGGGTGTTGCTTGGGGACGCAGGATGGGGGACACTTGTGCTCACACCGCCACCCTGATCCAGAAAGCTTTCCTGCCTGGGCCTGTTGGTTCTGGTACGACTGATGGTTTCTGGCGGCGTTCAGTTGGTTCCTCCATGGCCACCTCCTTATCCATCTGGATGTCCTGTGCCTGGAACCAGATACCTTTCCTCACCCCCCTTCCTGCTCTCTCCTGCGCTCTTTAGTGAGGTGGCTTGTTGCCCTTTGTGTTCCTTCCCCACGCAGCAGCCCAGATCAGAATCCCCCAGCCCCTCATGTGCTGCTCACTGGCCTGCTGCAGCCCACAGGGGGTGAAGAGCAGCTCCTACCCCGAGGCCCACTCTCCCCACCACTCAGCCAGCCCAGCTTGCAGACCAGCAGTGACCAGGATGGAGGGAGTCACATACTCCAACCTCCCCTCTGGGTCTCAGCTTTCAGTCCTTCCTGCTGTGTGTCCGACTCAGACTTGGTGCTCAGGCGGGCCCGGCCCATGCTCTCATGTGAGCTGTGTGACCCGGTCCTTCTCACTGTTTCCTGGGGACCCACCCAGCCACATGTCAGCCTCACGTGGTGGTGGAAGCTTCCCCACTTGTTGAGGAAGCTTGTTCATCCTCTCAACAACGGCTGGGAAAAGGGCT